TACATGTACCTCGCGTTGTCCACGGGTGGTCACTATTCATTGGACAAATTCGTAATTTTTTTTTTGCTGGATGCTTTTCAGACTGTCTTCGGGTGAATTAGAAGACGAAAATGAAAATCCAAGACCATTTCCAAAAAGTGATATAAACCCCGTGGAATCACCCTATTATGATCTTTCAAAATTTTATCTAGAATTTTTTATATATTCGACATTAATAATTGGTGTTGTTGTGCCTCTTGTCTTGGTTATCTTATCAATTGTTGCTTTTAAAAATGTTCATCGTATTCGATCGATTCCACGTTAACAACGTAACCAAATACGATCAATGCACAAAAAAGATTTTCAACTACTTCGCTGTTTATATGTTCTCAACATTGTATATATTATTTGTACTATTTTATTGATTGTGGCTCTAGTCTACGGCACAACAATGAGATATGAAAACCCAAAACATTTTGATCAAGCTGTTAACAACTTTTTGGATCAGTCTTGGTAGTTTTCTTCACTATATTCCGTACTGTACAAGCTTCTTCATATTTTTCGGTTTATCAAAAGCTTTTCGACAGGAACTGAAATTATATATTGATAAGATGCGTTGCAAAGATCTAACAACAGTACGGAAAGAAGAAAACAATTAACAGATACCAACAAGAGAAAATCTAGAACTAAATTAGATTGTTAGTACTGTTGTTTTAGTTTCATAATTAATAAATAAATGAATGTTGTATCATCAGTAAATGAAACAATAAAATATATCCGATTAACTAAGCATAGAAAAACCGTTAGAGATATTTGTTTTTATGAGTTTTATATTGTTAATATGAGAAACTTGATTTTATAATATAAAAAATAGCCAATAACAATGGAGATGTCTTTAAATTCATTAATGGAACCATATTTGACGGTTTCTAGGTACTTTCTGTCAAAAGTAAATTTTAAGAATATTTATCTAATGAATAGATAATTTCACATTAAATTATGTTTGGTCTTTCAAATGGCCTGAAGATGTGTTCTCTGTAATACCATTCCGACAGATAAAAATTCAAGAAAATGTAATTAAAAACCATGAAAATCATTTTCTTTGGGCTCCTAAACGTGTGCATAGTAAATTGGTTGTAAGAATTACTAAAAGGAGCAAATTTAAGCGTGCTTACATACATATTTTGTATTTTCATTGTTTCCACGTATTCGAGATACTCTGTGCGCAGGAATTAGTGACAGTGTCACAAAATTCATCATTTTCACACCTTTTTTCTCGGTCGTTCTTTGCTGACTACGGAAACCATGATGGACATACAAAAACATCCATTTTTTTAATGTTTATATGCACTTCCTAAAACTTTTGTCTGTGAATGCTATGTAATTGTCTCACTGGACCGTATTCGTTAATCTTCTTTGTGTAATGTAATTGACATAGTATTTTAGTCTCGTTGAATTCATTAGTTCATATTAGTGAAATAGATTTTTCCTCACATGCTTTTTACTAATAGTTGATTACAATAGGACTTGTATTATTCCAATGAATATCTTTATTTTTGCTAACGAAAGTGTATTTTCCATAAGTATATCTTCAAACTTTGCCAGTTTGTAGAGAATATCTTCAATGGTATCTGTATGTAATAAGAAAAAAGTAGTGAACTATTGACTGAGTTAGTAGTTAATTAAGTTCAAATTTAGTTAAATATTTTATGTCAAGGAATATTCTTTAAAAGATCTTCCAACATATTCTGTTTATTATGAACATAAAACTAACAAAAGACATTGTTAATATACAAGTAGAGCTTAAAAAGTTAACAATAGCCACGACGAATAGTTGAAAATTAAAAAAAAAACGTTTCTCTTTCTTTTCGAGTTTCCTATCTCTCGATAGTCACCGAATATCAAATTTACGGAAAGATTTCCCTATTGTTCATTTGCTTTCGACTTTTTTGAATACATTTCGACCACTCAAAGCAAGAAAACATATTGGAAAGACACTTTTGATTATTCCATATAATTTCGACTGCTCTAAATTCATCAAAATTTCGTTTGTTTATTAAGAGAAAACTTGTTCGAAATTCAATTTTCAAATGATTCTTTAACTTTTTTTCTAATAACAATGTTGTCGGAAGAAGTTCTACGTACCCTCACCATATAAACAAAAATGTTTATTATCTAAATCGGGAATAATCATACAAATACGTTTATAGTCCCGATGAAAAATTAATCATAATGGATATGGATATGAACGAGTGTGAGTATAGGTCTAGGTATGGATTTAGAGAAAATTCACACGCACAACAGATAAGAATTAGACATTGGCTGAGCGAATTATTCTCTTTTTTATTCTCGTCATTTTGAACAGTTTCCTATGAATAATATGAAAAAAATGATTCGATTTTGAATGTTCTCGTATTCTTCCATATTTGTATTCATCTATGAATATGCGAATATAATTGTATAAGACATATGAGTGTACTGAAATTACGGTGATATGCATGGCGGATGTGGTGTTTTTAGAGTGCCGAATATTCCCCAACTGCTCAACAAGAGAGAGATTAGAACACGAATCAACATGTATGAGAAATGAAAATGAACGACTGTAAAAAAAAAAAAAAATAACAATAAAATTTTCTTTTCTGCTTCTTTACGATATCCAAAAAAGAAGAAAAAAGAACAAAAGAGAAAATTCATAACATTACAAGCGACGAAGATTTTAACTAAATGTATCAAGAAGGAAGAAAATGAAAATGAAAACAAAAATGCACTTATCCACAAATTATCATTTAAATGTGATATATCCATTTCTGTGATGGAAATGAAGCCATTGGACATGAAATGAATTAGAATAAATAAGAACGATGCTAATATTTAGTGATATATGTTATAGAAAAACGAAAACCACTGAGGATATCATCAATTACCAATATTTGAATCTTTCATAATCTCCAATACTAGTACATGTAGATAGATTTCTAAAATTTTTCGAAATTCCATGAGATACACTTAACATACTTCGGTACCAATTCTTTCGTTCACAGCTATAAATAAATATTTTTATATACACATATGAGTCTCTAGTGAAAAATATTCAACTCGAACTACTATCCATCTCATTACAGTACCCGTTCTAAACTATCTTTTTCATGCATATGAAGTTCTTAAGCTAGAAATGAATGTGATATGGACGCATGTTTAACTCTGCTTACGTGAAGCATATGCAAAAAAAAAAGCCTTTCACTAGATGAAATATATTTTAATCATCGAACGATTTATTTTGCTTCTAGTTTTAGTTAGGCAAGTATGTTTTAGTAACGATAATGTAAGAAAGTATTTAATAATTATATAGAAGACTCTGATAACTAATGTTTCAACATTTTAAGATGATTTAGACAAAAATGAAAACATCTTATTTAAATGCCATGAATTTCAAAACAACGAAATTGACTATTTTGTCTAGTTGACGATCAAAATACAGTAGAATTATAATCGTTTCTTGTCTACATGCCATGCTAACGAATTAGGGAAAAGGAAAGACAGAAAGTGCTTTTGTTTTTGACTGCAGTTCTCTATTAGTTTAATTAAATAAACTACTAGAATTATCATAAAGTGATTTTTTTCTTTCATGACCTATTTACAGTTTGTTTGAGGTAGAAATGTTTTTTTTTTCGACTTCATTACAATTTGAAACTCATATTACTTCAGTTATTTATTTACATTCTCAGAAACAAAAAGACGACTTAATAACTAAATTAAAAGAAATTTTCACAATGTATTTCTTTAGTTAGAAGAGACATTGGTCATCTCAAGTTTATTTTGTCAAAATGAAAAAGAAAGTAAATCAGACTGTTTCATTATAGGATTTGAATTTTTCTTTATTCCATCGTGCATTATAATATTAAACAAATAATATAATAAAATAGAATATATAAAGCATCTACGAAATGTTATAGGATGCAAGAAAATAAAAATTTAGCTCAAGCTGTATCAATTAATCTTGATGAACCAAGACAATCACCGATTGTTTATACAGATGTTTTACTTAATTTGCAAGGAGAAATTTAAAATTTGTTCAAAATATTGAATTACAATTTATTCAACTGGTTTCAAACACTAAACGTCATTTTGGTGGTTTAAACCGTCATCATGTTTCACAAGATGGTCATGTTTTAAAAATATGTTATGCATTTAAACCAATGAATTCAAATGAAGGTCGTTTAATTCATGAATTATAGGATTGGAACACAAGAAAGAAATTCGACTGGACGAAATCGAAATATTCTTGCATATGGATTCTATGCAATATGTGGTATTCCATCCGTTACATTGAATGAAACAATTCGACGTGAAAATTTTTTATTCTTTTCTTATTTAATTATAATAAAAAAAAAATATTAGCTCAATATATTTGTTCTTATTTTCAATATTAAAAGAAACAAGACTGGATAGTTTAAAATATAGTAAAGATTTTTTCGATTTAATGTTACAAATAAATCTCTTGTTGTTTTTTACCATTACTATGATAGCTTTGATTATGTATTGTTGATCGGTGCTCATGATTTCTCGATTTACTCTAAATATAACTAATATTGCAAGCCGATGTTTAGTAGCATCATATAATAATCATCTATTATTTTCTTCTCAACAACAGAATCGTTACATAGCTCAAAATACATCAAATAAGCGACTACCTGGTCGTATTTGTTGATTTTTCCGTTGGTTCAGATGGGGATCTAAATCGATAGATGTCACAACACCAACAATTTCATATCCGATACCATCCCCTCCAACACTACTAACAACAATGCAACGATTACAAGGCTTTCTTTCTCTTTCTCCATTTATAGAAAGGCTTTTTTTCTTCATTCACATATTATTGAAGATGAAGATTTAGCTCGATTAATTTCTAAAATAGCTGCAATAACAATCTATGCATTTATTGGTGTCACTACACTTGGAACAGTGAGTGTTGATACTAAATCACTATTAGCTGGTATTAGTATAACAGATTTTACAATTGGTTTTGCTCTTAAAGAAGTAGCAACGAATTTTATATCGGGTATTTTTCTTGTTATTAATAAACCATTTATTCGAGGATGTTGGATTAAAATTCATGGAAGTGATGGTGATGGTGGAATTGAAGGTAAATTTTATTTTGATTCTAAATCATATTGAATATTACCTTTAAAAAAGGTCTCGTTCATTATATCGATATTCGATAT